GCACAGGAAGCAGCGCCATGCCACCTTCCGCGACCAGTAGGTGGAAGCTTCCTCCATTGAGAAGAGGACGCCACCGACGGGTGCGCCGAAGGCTGACGCGATCCCAGCGGCCGCGCCTGCGGACAGGAACTCTCGGCGATCGAGGTCTGAGGACAGGTCCATCATGAACTCCCAGAACTTGGGGCAGGGGCCGCGGGCCTCTTCCTGGGACCTGGATCCCACAAGGATGCACAAAAAATTTAGTTACCCGATAGTGACGTGAACTGGCACCCATCAGTGCGTAGGAAATTGATTCTTGAACAATTCTGAACCTATTCTGATCAGATCTGCTGGACAGAATGATGTGGGGTGTGAAAGAAAAAGCTGTTGTCAGTGTGGTTCAGTGCAGGGACAACAGTCGTGCACTTTAGGATCTTGGGGCAGGGGCTGCAGGCCATCTCATGAGGTCCAAAAGGACTGTCGTGGCAGTCACTGGTTGGAATGGCTATGCACTGAACTGCCACATCACAATAACAGTTGCTTTGCGCTGTTATCGAGCTGATGTCAACAGAAGCAAACACACACAAGCCCCCCCTCCTTGGCCGAGGATCTCAAGGGGACTTCGCAAAGAAGTTTACAGCACGACACGTGCAAGGACAGTGCATTGCCATAGTTTGATGAGTTCACTACTGAACGTTCGATAGAAAGCTGTTGAGCAGTATTTTGCAGACCCCAGGCAGACAATGGACTCCAAAACGACCAAACGCCAGAAAGGTGACAAAAAGCATCAAAACGCAGAAACCCACCACAGTGGAGAAAATGCGATGAAAACAAAAGGATAAACTAAACTAAAATAATTGGAAGAACAACAAACGCCACACTGACAAGAGACAGGAGAATTACAGCGATGCTGCCGAGAGCTGGACATAATGATGAGAATAGAAACGTAATGCCGCGATCAGAAGTTGACATTGACACAAAGCAGCAATTGAAGTCCAAGTTGGAAAAATAGATGCAGGGGAGGTGCCGTAGCAAGATAGAGCACCATGAAAAAGAAACACAAAAGAAACACCATGGAAGCAGAAACTTATCAACGAAGACACTGACCTGGAACCCAACTGAGGGATGGGACCTGGACTGCCCTCCACAACAGGCGGTCCACTGACCAGTCCCGAGTGGGAGACCATGAGCTTTGGCACACTGCGGGGTCGGGTCAGTGTGCATTCCATGTAGGTCACCACACTGGCCACAGCCGCACCCATATGCACCATTGGGCCCTCAGGCCCCATGAAAAGGTTGGCTGAGATGGCGCAGATGGTGCCGACAAACTTGGTGATGAGGGAGGCAAAGCTGAAGAGGTGGGGCACGTGGTTGCCGTTGAGGTAGGCGATCACCTGGGGGTGCAGAATACTAGGGTGAGATGCAGTCTTCTGCAGACATCCAAGTGCATAGGCGGTGGTCAAGCACTGAGTAGTTTGGTACAAGGATCCAGCCAACATGCTGCCAGAATCAGATCTTCTTTGAAGCATCACGTTGGTTCGATGTAAGGACTGAATCGCATCGATGTGACAGGCAATATTGTACATCTTCTGTGTGGCAACCATTGCTGCTTTTGATTGGGAGGCTGTGCTTGTACCAAGTGCTTACTGTTTTCTGTCATAAAACAGGCCACCCACCATGAGTGCATTCAATGTTCTCAATACTTGGATGACAGATGAGAGCAACAGATTTGACAGTGCATCAAATGCACAAGACAAGGGGCCACAACATTCTCAAGCATTATGCCAGAATCGCGCATTTTAGCCCCAGTCACGAGGCTTCCATTAACAGCCAATTCTGCCCCACTCATTGACTCGCTACATAATCTGAACAACAGTGAATACATCTGTGGTGGTTTGATTTCAATAACAATACAAGCAAAAAATGGATGTCAATACAGTCTCCCGAGCAAAAGGCACTTAGCAGTAACAGACAGAAAAAATACATACAGATGAGAACTCACTAGTGAGGTGCCTGTTCCACAGGAAGCAGACACCCAACATTGGACCATTGTTCTTCCGGTGGAGGATTTATGTTTTCATGAAATACAACATCACCTATGCAGACATCAAACATTTTATGCAAAGCAACCACGTTGAAGCAGATTAAAACACCAATTCATGTGCAACCATGCAACAATCTCTACACAAGAATGAATCGAATCGAATACTGGACATGACATCATGCAGGCATCTTGTCGATAGGGGCTGACTAGGGAGGCATCTGTGCCTGACACGGGTGGTGTCTCATAATGCAGCATCTAAACGGCCTTCTCATTGCAAGCCAACCAACCCTTTAGGTGCGAGATTCCAACCTTTAAGTGCCAGCATCAGACCAATCTCATGCCATTTTTGATAGCAGGGGGTCCATTGCAGACAATGTCTGGCTGGGGGCTTACCAGCGAGACACCTGCGCCAGTGGCAGCAGGCGCCCAAAACTGCACCATACCGATGCCCACCAGCACCAGCACACTGCTGTAGGCCATGTGCAGAAACATCGACTGCACGAAGCTCCACTCGTTCCTGGGGGTCATCACGATGGTCCTGTTCTTCCAGTCGATGAACTTCCCTGTCAGGATGCTGATCCCCAGAGCAATCAACCCGATGATGATGCCCGTCACCAGAGTTATGACAAACTTGGCGAACGTCCGCCCTGTGTATCCGTAGATGCGCTTCTTCTCCTTCTTCACGCCCTCCCGCTTCAGCCGCTGCATGAACACGCCGTTCTGCACGAACTCGTAGTCCAACGATTCGGAGTCCAGGAGACCCTTGCGCCGCCGGTGGGGTCTAAGGGACCCAAGGTTTCCGGGCGTGCTGGTCTGTTCGGCCTCATCTTCGCTTGAGGCGGCCTGGACAGAGGTGGAGACAGGGAAGTCGAGGGGCTCTGGGAGCGGCCCGGCATCGCTCTTGATTCCGTTGCCCAGAAGAGGCTCAGTCAGTGAGCCCAGGCCTTTGCCTAGAACTGCAGCAAAAACACATTTGTATGCAAAATTTGTAGAATCTCCTCCTCCCTTACGTATCCTCGTTTAAATCAGTGTGTTGTTTGTGTACATCACTGGTGCATCAAATTCACAACTGTGCGACTTACACTATCACACAGTGGCTTACTTCCTCAAGACAATGACAGTCACAATGAAGTCACACTGCACAGCTACGACAAGATTGGATTGATGTGGACTCCATTATTCCACAAGGCTAGCAAGCCCACAACAGTGATTGCCCAATAGGTGACCAGTCTATCCAGGCACAGTCTGCAAATCCACATCACAGGAAGTTGCTGCACGCAATCTTGTCTGCTTTGGCATGGCATGGAATGGGTCCCAGCGAACTGCACAGGATCTAAACTGAACTATGGCATTTGTGGAAGTCGAGTTTGAAACATTCTGTGCACAGTTGTATGCAAGGCATCGCCTTGCAGGTGCAAGGTTCGTGCTCTTCTGTTTTTTTGGGGCCAATACAATCAAAGGGTTACACAAACCCATACCCTGACCACAAATCGGTCATCTGCCATTGCCTAGAAGGCACAAGGGCATTTACTTCGTAACATGCTAATGAATGCAAAATATGCGCAAGCCGATGACGGGCTGTGGATGCTCGTGTCTATGCTGTACTTGCCAAAATATTAACGTGGCAATTGGGAATCTGGACGAAACCACTGCCCAAACAGAAGAGGTGTGGGGACTGTGCCAGCTTGAGTGGTGCTCCAGAGTTGACAAAAACTGCTACAGGTGTGACAACGGGTGCTTGTTTGGGGCCTTTGCAAGCCTGGTGCTTGAAATGTTGTTGGGCTGCTATGGGTTTTGCTTGTGCATCTCAATGCCGCTATCTTTGTAGTCTGTGTGCAAAACAAGCAACCATTTTTGGCACCCACTGTTGCTTAGTCTACTCACTGTGGCACCCATTAAGGGGGCACAGAACTAACAACAGTTGAGGGTTTTCAGCACGTGCCATTCCAAATCCCCTGGTGGAAAACCCCTTGCCATCTCCCAAGAAAATGCAAGGTGATGTACAGAATAACTGCCAGTGTCAATCAGATAATGTAAATAATGGACATTAGAAATTGATCTTTACTCTGTCCTGGGATAGTAGATCTTCTTCAGGTCTGTAACCCTGATGTGCCCATTCCCTTGATGGGGTCAGTGTCGGCTATCTACACGTGCGAGTGTGCTAACTTCTCTGGCCTGGTTCGGTCCATGCAGTGACTGCGTGACTGCCTTTTACCATCATCGCTCTGCCTGTGTGAAGGCATCATTTGTATGGACTCCACTTGTCAACAACACATAACTCACAATGTCCTTGCTCCTGAAAGGCTACATCAGAAGTGGCAGCATCCAACAGGTGGTTGCCTGCTTCCTCAAGAATATCGTTCCAAAAGCCAGGTTTCGTCCATGTTTCAGAAGACAAAGCCGCTTTGCTTGCCACGCAACATCTTTAGGGCAAGAGTGTTACAAAGTACATGGCGTCGGTCTGGGGGATGCCCATTGCATGCCCGGTTTCGCATTCTTTCAACAATCCTGCACTCCTTCGCCATTAAACCATGACAAGAGCGGCGCCCAAGCCGGTGCGCCGCGCAAGCTGCCTCTTGTCGGCTTTCCAAGCGATACCACGTGGCAGGGCGACAATACCACCCTTTGATACCACAGCCAAAACTCATTGGCGCAGCCAGCAAGCAGCACCCGGCAAACAGACGGCGGGGGCGAATCGGGAGGCCGCCGCGGCGCAGGGCAATGCGCCCACTCCGCTCTGTGCGCCGCACATCCACCCCGCCAACAACGCTGGCGGCCCCGTTCCAATCTGCCTGCAATCGAACATAAGCCCTAGCATGACAGCCAATCGCCGGTCGTGTCGCATCAAGCCCCAATCGAAGCTAGCACACAGGCAAAAGTCTGAGCAGCATGCGGGCCTTGCGGCGGGATCCCCCGGTACGCATGCCAGGTGCTCCCTGACAGCGACAGGACGGGGCCCAACATGGGGGACGTCCATTCACCCGATGGGGAGCACAGCCCGCAGCTTGACCCCGCCATTGCCTCCCTGCAAACCCCACAATCGCCCAAACGGTGGCAGCGCGAGTTTCTGGCCCCGATTCCAACCAACCAATGATGCCGACATCCGGAGGGGTCCGCGCGACATTGCCAGCCTGGACCGCCGCAGGCGCCACAAACGCGGGGCGCTGATCTCGCAGCACGGCGCGTCCGCCGCTCTCGCAAGCCTCAGCCGTGGCGCAGCACGGGCGGGCGTCCCGGGCACGCCGCCGAGGCCCAGCACGGCACATCGCATCCCGCCCCCCTCCTCGAACGCCAGTCGCCGCAAGCCCGCCGCCATGACCGCGCGGCGACCCCGCTATTCCCCTAAAGCGGCCAGTTGGACCCCACCAGTGCAATCCATCGCCAAAATTAGGCCTCGAACCTCCGCATCCGAGCAAAGAACACAACTGCACCACCACCCCAGGCTCCGCCCATCCCGACCCCCACCCGACAATCAACTGCTACACCAATACGCTTACGCCCACATCACGGTCACTCTTTGATCATACCCACTTTTGACGGGGCACTCCCTCAAAGGTCACACCCGCAGGCATCTCCCCAAGCTCCTTTCGGCACCCCCGCCCCCGTCCGCTCGATGAACGCCTCTCCCTTCGCTGTTAACACCGATTGCCGCGATGCAAATGCAAGCCAGGCCCGCGGATGGCGCCTCTGCGCATCGTACCGCCCCCGTGGGGCGTCCCGCCTGGCCACCCGCCCGCAGAAGCGCGCGGCGCCCGCCCCTCCCGGCCGTTCGAAAGTTCGAATTCCCGGTGACAGAACCCTCTTCCTGGACGAGCCCGCCAAAAGTGCGCCTCCCGCCCTCGGGCTGAAAATCGGGCACCGTCGAGGGCGCGGGGCGATTGGGGGGTGCGGAGGTCTGCGGAGCGTCTGCGGAAGTTACGCTGAAAACAGCCGGGGGGTTCCAAGGAAGACCTGCGGCCAAGGCGGCGCCGGGGTGCCGGACGGGCAGGCCAAAGTCCCGCCGCCCCGCGTGTCTGATCCGCGTGATCCTGTACTGATCCTGTGCTGACCGTTTTTTCTGCTGTTTTTTGTTGGGTGGTGGTGGGGGAGCTGGGAGAGAGGACTTTACGGCGTGGTGATGGGACAGAAGCTGCTGCCTGTCAGATCGACGTCGCGGAGGCGGGCCCCAAGGATCTGGCTGTCGTTTCACTTTCCCGGAAGCGGTGAAAAATACTTCGCTTCCCGCTTCGCGTCATCTCCGCGACGCCCTTCAATTGCCGGCCTCTTGTGGCACCTGACACCTCTACGGTGTTGCGCCGCACTGGCAGAGAATGCACACGGTTGCTGTCCGTGCTCAGGAGGCGCAAAATCGTATCCTTGGTGTAAACTGCGCTTACAGGGTGGACAGATCGTGTGAATTTCTACCGTATTTTGGTGTTGCATGTCAGCAGTGTTTAGTAGGGGATTAAGCACATGTGGATGCGAATAGCGCCCGTCATCGCCCAATGCAAATGCATCCCAATTTCATGCTCTTTCATCAATTAAGTCAACGTAGAGATACTCCAGTGGCAAGTTGGCCACCTGAATACTGCAAGGCGGAAATGGGCTGGTTATGCCTTGTACCGGATCTGCCTTGTGGTCCATATCTTGGTTCAATAGTCAACTAGCAACGTTGCTCTGGCCATGACAGAAGTGATGTGTCTTGCAGTTGTTAAATATAATGACCATTGTGAGAGCAAGCGAACGGTTAATGTATAATATATGATACATGGTGTGTTTTGATGGTGGGAAGTAAATATGGTGGACATGGTGTTATGGTGAATGTACATGGGGACAATGGAGATGGGAAAGTGAACATTATTGCAGTGATTGATATTTAGTCGATACACTCATCCTGTAATGCATCCGGTTACGGTTTTGCTTCCCGTGCACAGGGCGACGATGTTTGGCGTGTCTTGAACCGGTCGGCCGATATAGTTTGGGCGGGGGCGGACCGCTGCCCAGGGGAGTCGGTGGCCGATGGCGACGCGGGAAGCGTCGCCGTCCTGTTTGCCAACCTCCGAGCGCCGCCATTGTTTTGGCGGTGCTCGGAGTGGTGGTGCTGTGGGAGGCCTTGGTGGATGCGAGGTGTAGGATGGAGGCCACAGCGATGGATAGACGTGGGTCGGTTGAAGCGGCTGTGGTTGGGAGGCGGAATGGGGAGTGGAGGTTGAGGGGATCGGCACCCCAGCAACCCGGACATCCCATGGCATGGATGCCGGGCCATGCATCGAACCTGACTACCCTTGGGATGGGGGCCGCGACCCTTCTGTTTCCTGGAGTAGCGGCTCGGCGAATGGCACAGCGGGGGAGGCCGCGGACTGTGTGGCGGAGGGAATGGCGGGGAGTCAATCGGAAGCACCGGATGGTACGTGTTGAGCGGCGCATCAGACGGGTGCACTCGAGCGGATTGTTGGCACCCATTGGGACTCTATGGCGAGACCTTGGTTCGACCGACGGGCAGTAAATGGGCGCAGAGGTGGGCGCTAGGTCGGAGAGGCATCGGGAATTGGCGGGGCCGGAGCGACGCGGCGTGGCGACACCTGCGGAGGGGACGGTTGCCGACGGAAGTGTGAGGACCCGCGCGACATCATGGTGGCCGCTGTGCGATTCGGTGAGCCCAGCAGAATGGTGCGACTCGCACGGCTCGGCGAGCACGGCGATGCACACTGCAGTTCAAGCAAAGATGCGCGCGAGGGAGGAAATGCCTCGAGGGCCGACCGGGTCGGAGCAGCGCGGCATGGCGATGCCCGCGGAATGGACAGTTGGCGGCGAGAGCACGGGGTCCGGCGCTGCGAAATGGCCATCCCCATGCACCTTGACGGTCTGGAAAAGCTAACGCAACACAACGGAATGGCAAGGCCCTTGCAGTTCCGCGGGCGCGGCGATGAGCTCCATGCGGCGGGTGTGGGAATGGCTCACCGACAACCGGCGGCATGGCAACTCCCTGACGGGCGGCGGCAGCTCCTCGACGTGGTCGACAAGTGGGCGTGCGTGCGCGTGGTTTGATGGCGAACGGGCAGAGTGGAGAGAACCAGGGAGGGAGACCGCGGGGGGTGGCAGAGGCCAAGAGTGCGGGAAGTGGGGAAATGCGGGTGCGGGGAGTAATGCGGGGGACAGGCGGGTCGGTCAGGGGTTAGTCACCCGGGTCGGAGGCGGGGGCGGCTTCTATCCAGCCGCGCCACCTTCCAATGGCAGCGCCCGGAGGGGCGCGGGGGGCGCGATCGATCACGCTATCCATTACAGCAACGGGTGTCACCAGACGCGTTCTCCTGTCAACGGGGAGAGTGGTGGGGGGTGTGGGGGAGGGGGGTGTGGCCCAAAAAATACAAAAATGGAAGAAAAATGTGGGGATTTGATTGGTGCAAAGGCAAGGGAAGGAGAGGGGGGTTCTGGGCGAATGGAATTAAAGGACGATACTCACCGTGGTGTGACTACTAGGAGTCATAAAGTACTGGACAAAGGCAATTTTTATGAAAAAATTGACGGTGTGACCCGTACTGGAGCCCGTTGGGACCAAAGACCAATCGTTGAGCAATTATTGCTCATTGGTGGCGTGGAACGGAACCCCGGCCCAGCCACGGACGGGGGCCGGGAATTCCTGACTACAATCACACAGGAAACTGCCACGTGGGTCTTTGATGCCGCAGTTTGGGGGGCCAAAGGAGAGAAGTTCAGCGATCGCGTACGGGCGTTGCTGAAACAATTCCGGCCGGGCTCGATGCCACACCGGAGGATAGCCCATTTAGCCACGGCACTTCGTGATACGAGGGGAGAAGGGGTTACAGAGAAAACCCGTTGGGAGGAGTTGGTCAAGCAAGTCCGTGCTCTCCTTCCCCGCAATGCGTTGTCGCAGCAGGACCATTTAACGCGCATGTCGCGCAAGCCCCACGAGCCATGGATGGAATTTATGGACCGTTATTGTCTTTATGCGGAGACATGTGATGATGTGACTGATCGAGTGAAGGCTGCGGAATTGTTTTGTAAACTTCCTCGGGAGTTGCGGATTCAGCTCAGCCATGTGAAACATGACGCTACGTTGGCCGATTTATTAGAGGCAATCCGTGGGATCCGATATTGGTCGCATTGTGCAAATGATAAGACAGTGCTCTTTGACCCCATGGAAGTCGATAACCACATCCGCCAGTCCTCAGGCCCTTGGGCGCTTGACATGGTCAAGGACAATCTTGCGGAGAATTACGGTTTTCGACAGCGTGATGGCCGCACCCGGCGTCCTGTCTTACGCGGCGATACTATCCAGTTCAAGAACATTGACGGCCCTCGCAGCCTTATGACTGCATGGAAAAAGCTTGTCAGTACTTCCGCCAGTCTTCGCCGGGAAGCTGAGTCCTACCTCTCGCGCGGTCGTCGGTGGCAACAGCGTGGGTTGCGTGATCATGAGGTCGATTACAGCGACGAATTTGGCGAGGGCTTCTCAATCGAGGACTGGGGAGCCTCATGCCAGCCGCATGCCGTTCAGCGCCTTGAGGACAATTGGACTTTCGATGATGGTGAGGGTGATTTTTGGGCGCCGCCGGACCAGCAAGACACCTTTTTTGACTGCGAAGCATCTCCAATGGATGATGGCTTAGCTCAAGGTGAACACTGTTGTCAAACTTTCGCTGTCCCTGAGGTGTGCCGCGCTGTGCACAAGAACCCGAAAAAGTCCTTACATGTCCGTGTCAATATCGAGGGGACCGAGATTATGGCCTTAGTGGACACGGGTGCGACTTCGTGTTTCGTGCAATGCACATTGGTGAAAAAGCTCGGATTGTGGGGCCGTGTGGAGCCATGCCAACATCAAGTCCGGTATGGTAATGGTGAAGAGGAACCCATGATTGGGGCTGTCACCCTTCCGGTGATGGTCCAAGGTGCAAATATGCCAATGAAGGCGTATGTTTTGGATGGCAAGGGCCCTCCACTCATCATGGGCTTCACTTTTCTTGAAGCTAATCAGTTGTTGGTCGACTGCACCGAGCGCACCCTCATTCAGAAGGCCAATGGTGGCCAGGTCAAGTGCCTTCCAGTCCAGGATGCCTGTCAGCCTACCCATCTGCAGGGAGACAGTCTCGTGGTTCAGCGGTTTCCAGTGAAGGGTTGTCTGCCACCACTCCCCAAGAAACATTTTTCGGGGGATGCGGCATACGACTTTTTCGCGCCCAAGGAGCTTCGTCTTCGCCCCGGTGAGCGCACAACCGTTGACACTGCAGTCGCTTGCCACTTCCCTCAAGGGACTTGGTGCCTCTTGAAAGAGCGCTCGGGTCTTGCTCATCGCTATGGCATCCAGCTCTTGGGCGG